ATATACTTTTCCTATTTAATCATACCTACTCTTCATTGAATTTATTTACTTTTTCTAATTAATCTTATATTTAAAAAAATGACATATGATATATATTGTAATGAGTACCTAATGGGCATCCATCAGATCCCATATATAGTAATCCTACCTAAATGTACTAATCCTATCTAATATAAATATAAGAGAACGAAAATATATACTTTTTAAAATTAGAAACATATACAAATTTTAAAAGGAAACATTCTAATTTCAACTTAAATATATGAATGTACCACTTAAACTTGGAAACTTTCTCCCTATCATATGATAATACTAACCTTGCCCAATATAATCAATATACTACTCTCGTGTTTTTTTTTTTTTTGTTGAGAAAGATACAAGGATAATATGAATATCCCTATTTTACAATAAGTATGTTATAATTTAGAAGTTAAAATTTGCAATTCTCTTAGGAAATAAAGTATACTACATTAAGAATTTATCTTTGTGCTCTTTAATTTTTGTATCACATTCTTGATTCCCGAGTTTTGACGTGCTAGCATCCATCCATTACGTATAAGAAAAATATTTTCATTCTAAAAATTCAAATGATATTCTAAACTCTTATTGATTTTGTATCTAGATTCTATCAACATTAGAGAAAAAATTTATAGTTTTGATTGATATAAATTTCTTTTTTTGTTTACTAAATTTTGACATATGTAAAATACATTTTTTGATATATCCACATGTGCACATGTGCACACATGTGTGCGTACATATGTGTATAATATTTAAAGATGAGTTATATAGCAAACAAATTCTACCGCGAGATGAATTCAAATAAGCAATAGTGTATTTAAATGGTTCATTTTAGGAATGTTTTAAGATATTTTGAAAATTACTTTAATAGATATTTATAGAAAAATTCCAAAGCTGCAAGATTTTATGAATTTTACACTGATCCCACTTATTAGAATTTTTACCTTGGATTTGACGAAAACTTTGAGATGATGATGAAATAGGTCATGAACCGGGGAAGATAGGGTTGGGAAGTGGAAAAAGGCCAATCGATAGGATGGAGGAAGTATACCAAAAAAAGGAATAGATAGGGCTATGAGGGTAGGGAGAAATTGAAATTATTGAGGGGAAGAGGGGGATTGTGAGGCTTGCATGGTGAGAGGAAAGAGAAGGATTTCAAGGCTGGGGAGGTAAGGTTGTTGGATAAGAGAGAATAATAGTAGAAAAAGGAGAATAGTATCATGGAGGGAGAATGGAGATTGGGGGTGGAGGTGAGGGTAGGTCCCTCCATTTATAATTAAATATATATATATGTGTGTGTGTGTGTGTATTATATGAATTTAATGACGTGATATTTTGTTGTGAATAAATGATGAATTGTTATTATCAATTTATTATGATAAAATGGTTATTTCTTGTGTTATTTTACTTAATTTTTTTCACAAATTGTATGTTGTTTATAAAGAAAAATTGCAATTAGTTTAGATTTAATGGAGAATCAAATATGGAGAAATGAGTTCAAAAGATCACAGTAAATTTTAATATTATTTGACGTTTATTTTACTAAAAATTAAAAGAGTGATTTGTTAAATCATTATTAGTGTTATACATTAAAAAAAATTATATAATAAAGTATAGAAACTATAATGAGTAGGGAAGGTAATGATAGATAGTAAAGAAGGGAAGGAGGAAGGTAATGATGTATGTGTTTGGTGTATTTTTTGGACCTTTTGTAACATGTTTTGTTATCTTATTTAGGTGTTTTTTTGTTTATTTTTTGTGTTTTATTTTCTTTTTTTATGTAGTTATTTTAACAACATGTTATCTAATACTAATACTACAGCTACAATTTATTTTTTTCTTTAGTATTCAAAGAATCATAAGTACTTTAAGAATAAACTAAATTCTTAGGGCATAATATGACTAAAAAATAATTTTTTTTTTAAGATAGGACAAATTTTGATAGGAAAGTGCAAAAATATATGACAACTAGTTTTGTACCGGTTCGTTGAACGGGAATCTTCGAAAAATAATATACTATTTAGTTAATTTTATAAAAATGTCAATATGAAATACAAACTTAATGTATATTTTATTATAACCTTTCTTAAGTATATTACTATATGCGCATTATAATATAAAGTATTCTTATAATATAAATTCGAACATCTAATTCAGTAAATAATAATTCAAAAATGAAAAAAAATAACATTTGACAATACCATAACATTCAAAAACTTGAAAATAAATAAAAAGTGCAGTATATAGTATCAAATAATATTCTACTCTTCAGAATTTTGTTTTTGTTTTTCTTCTGTTTGAACATTCTCCTCGATTTGTCCGTGCAAATCAGCATTTATTGATTTTTCATTATCACTGCATGATAGCAAAGTAGGATAATTAAGTATAAAAAATAAATAATTTATCGCATTCAAGGTTGTGTATAACAATACGTAAAGATTATAATTTAAGAAAATAAAATAGTATATTAAATCTACCTTCTCATGCAATTTTTTTTATGAGGATTCCCTTCCTCTGTGGTTTTTGTTGAACTCTCTAATGAATGATTCATATGAAGTGCATTAAAATGTTGTTGATTAGAATCATCTGTTATACTAATTGGGATCTGGGAAGAAGATGCTTCAAGTTAGTTTGGTTGTCGGTTCCACTAATCTGGTAATGATTTATCAAAATTAAATGCAAAAATATTAAGTGAGATATAATATGTGAAACATAAAAGAAATTTATTACTAATTCAAGATATATTACTAATCCTATGTGTTCATAAAAAAAACAAACAGAAAATAAAAATTTAAAAAAATAAAATTTAAGATATGTTACTAAACTTTTACAATTGAAGATCAACATGTCTTTTTTTTAAAAAAAATATGCATTAAAAGAAGATGTACCTGATAATCAAGAGGAGTGGAAACCCAAAATCGATCCTTTAATGTGCCAACCGCTTGCACTGAAAATACCTAACCATGAATTTGATGTTTGAAATCAATATATTAGAGGCTATATGTAGTGTAGGCATAAGAAATAAGAATTGATAAAAATATAAAGAGATACTGATAAGAACAATAAAAGTAAGTTTATCTTGATTTAAGTTGTTTAAAGTACGTAACTTTGGGTAGGAAATAAAAATCCTATAATATTAAGAATTCTTATAGGAAATAAAAGTGTGTTCTCAAGACAGATTTTACCTACCTTGAAAGACCATTTCAACTATATCGAGTCCTTTAAGTGCATGGACTCCTTTGGTGTGGGTCCACACACTAAATAGTAAATACTCCCCACCATCTGAGCAGAGATGTATTATGAATCTTATAACCTAACAATAAATATAACCTACATGTTTTGATTAATAACGAACGGGTTTAAAAAAATTTACAAACCCGTACTCAAATAGAAATTTATATTTGACCGTACGGGTCAAATACATATAGTTAATTGGATTCAATTAACTTTTTCTTTTCCATAAATTTCATGCTATGCACTATGTCTTGATAACGCACTTAATAATAAAATTTATTAAGAATCCTATTTCCAACATCAGATATTGACTTATGTTATTAATAGTTTCTTTTGAAATTAGTTACTTTTCTACTTCTTATAGTGATAACAATTCTTATTTACTTCAATTCCCTATGCAGTATACAAATTATTGGCATGAATTTGGAGACATATCTAATAGAGATATTTATGTCTCTTTTATTTATATCACATAATAAGAATCATATAATATTAAGAATTCTTATAGGAAATAATAATTGATATATATCTAAACAAAAAAGGAGCAATCTATATAGGAAACTACTTGCCGTCTCGTTAAACCACGTAGGAAAGAGAAAACATAAAGGGATAAGAATGAGAATACGACTTTATTATATATATATATATATATATATATGATTAAACATAATTTTTAGGAAATATCACTGTTTTTTCAAGATGATGAGTGTGTCGTTGCATACCTTTCATGAGTGAAAAATTTTTGTCCTTTATTTTCATTTAAAATAATGCATTTTCGTACAAATTGACGGTAAAACTGATACCATTTTTAATTTTTAGCCCTTTCTTTTCAACAACAATAATTTTAGTACTTTGATTTGAAATCTTACGGGTCAAAATTCTAGTACTAATATATATCGTGCGGATAATATGGCATCTGAGCAATTACTCGTTTCTGTATTAATTTCTTGTAAGATATTATGGTCTAGTTGACGAAATGATTTTACACCAAGACTTGTTGTTTTGATTTCATTTGCATTTTTAGCAATGCTCACCTCTGGTCCATTGAAGAAGAAAGAATTGAGTAAACCACTTTCTTCGCCATCTCGTTTTCTTCTTCGGAATAGACAGGGCAAAAGAAATTGTGCCCCAGTCAGTCAACAGAGAAGGTTTTCTTTTTCTTTTCCCTCCATATTAACAAAGTTGGTGCTTCGTTTAAGATCCCCAATAGCGTTGTTTATTTTTTTTACTTTTTGTCTTTTGAAGAAAATGAAGGTGGTATAAGATCCCTCATCTAGAGATAATGCGCCGCGTACCACATTTGCTCGATGAGCAAAAACTCCCACTCAATGAAATACATATGCTTTGTTATGACGATTTCTAAATCATAGCAATTACTTCCATACTTTGTTTACCAAGTGGAGGCTCATGTCCTCTGCATTTGAACTCCAAACTGACGTAGTGCTTGGCAGGCCATGTGGTGAAGTGAAGCTTGAAACAAGGACTAGCCAATGGATGATCTTTCGGATAAAGGGCACTCTCCTCTAATAAATTCCTAAAGCATGAAAGCTTAAGGCTTTTTTCAGTTTTGACCAACGACTATTGCATGTTTCATCTTTGAAAATTCTGCACTTTTGCTCGACCTCATCCAGGAAGATAGAATTCACATTTTTTTTTGTATATATGTGCATATATATATATATAGAGAGAGAGAGAGAGAGAGAGAGAGAGAGAGAGATCAAGTGGAGAGCTGGCGTGCTACTAAATGCAAGAATCCAAGTGTGACTTGTTCAGACGCTTTAATGAGTTGCCTGAACTAAGATATGCTCAGATAGAAGTTAGAAAATAGCACTCTGATCTGAGTTTTTAACTTTCAAAGTGTGATTTTACTAATGAATAAATAAATAAACAAAATATTAGAACATCTGCCAAAACCATGACGAGGGAACTTGAGGTGTTCGCAAAGTGACGAATGCTGGGAAAATAGCAAAGTCGCGAAAGTTGTGATTTTGAGAGTTGCAGAAACTTTCATTTCACTATTCACTATTGCCAGTTGTGAAAGGGGGAAGCTGGAACCCACCTTTAAAGAGGCAAAAAGATGATTTGCTTCAATCTCTTCTCTTGGATGCGGATGGATGTTTTGTCCGTACATGCACGGAGGTTGAATAACAAAGTACTTGGAAGGAAAAGAGCATCATCCATGTCATCAATTGTTATCGCTGCTGGATTTTCAGATTATCCATAGCTCAAAGCCTGTAATCCACATGGATTTTCTCTAAGAAACAGACGAATCTGAACCCAGTCATCATCACAATTCAGATGCCGATTAGAACAAATTGAACAGACCCAATCGCTGCAAAGAATATGCGAAATAAAACTTGATAAGTTCCTAGTAGGACTGAACTTTCTGTCAGAATTGACGCTGTAAACAACTTTATGCCATCCAGGCTTATTACATCCTCATCGGCTGCCGAATGGACCCCAGATTTGTGAATTTGGACTTCTATGACAAGGTCAATAAGGGCAGTCTAGAAGGCATTTGCCAATTCAAGGAGCAAGGAAATTTGCACGATCAGTCAGCTGGAAAGCAGTAATGCTTCAAACCCCAGAAAAGAGAAAACAGGAAAAGAAACCAGAAATTCAGCCAAGTGATTAATACACAAGTGCAACATCCTGAGAGTAAGGTTTTATCTTATGTTACTATTGATATCTCTAGGACTAAGGAAGGATAACAAAACGAAAAGAATAATACTGTACAGAAGAAGAACTGCAGGCACAAAGAATCAACAGCAACCAAACTCGCTTTCCGAACTATTTGCAACCACAGAGAATAATACTGTACTTGTTTTCATGATTGAATTTCCTTGTATATGCTCAGTAGCTTTTTAAGACGAGACACAATACGATCTTCAGAAAAGTTTCCCAGCTTGTTTAGCTTTCTTCTTACCCATTTCGAGCGGGATTTAAGCTTTTGCTGAAATTCACACACAGCTTTTTATTTCCTCCATTCTGCACCATGGACTTTTGGCGTCAACGGATACAAGAAAGTTCCGTTCGTGGTTGGCCTTTGTACAAGGTTTTGCTCTGGCATGGCTGATGACTTGTTGTGCCAGTATACTTCATTGGATCAGGATGTCAAGTCAGCGACACATTCTAGCCTAACTTGTGCAGACCTTTCGGAATATATGAAAATTTAGCAAAACGATGCGTAGCCCTATTGACATCAAAAGGTACATTCTTTTGAAACCAAGTCATGTATACATCTCGTTTCAGTTAAGGTGAAATTTAAAAGGTTCCATATGGTAAGTGACTTGAATTTAGGGTCTGTTTGTTTCGCCGTAAAATATTTTCTGGAAAAAGATTTTTCTAACTTCCAGTGTTTGGTGAGATTTAAAGCAATGAAAATATTTTCACAGGTAAAATGATTGATTTCCTCCCGCAACGGAAAACAACTTCCATTGAGATATTACTGAAGTTGTTTTCCCTGGCTTAAAGGCTCGTCCTGCAATGAGCTAAGTCCTCTTCAGATTAGGAGAAATAAGAGCGAAGGATAAATAAAGTGCTTGTAGATGAGATATCTCTAGAAGGTCCACCATTGAACACATCACCTTTCCTCCCTCTTCTTATCTCGTCCCTTTGTCTTCTCTTGCTCCATCTCTGATAATTCTTCCCAAACTCAAATCCAAGAAACCCAACACTTGTAGGAAATCGACACATGTACACTTTGTAAGGGTCTGTACAATGAATAAGAAACCCAGCCCTAGTGCAATAATGAAAAATGAACCAAAATTTCACGAAAGATGTTGCCTCTAGTGCAGAGGTTATCAAATTTTTTCTAGTATCACTAATTTGAAACAACAAAGAAAATGTTGCAGCATCCAATTTGATAAAAGAGACCCTTCACCCCTTAATGATTTTTTTTAAAGAAAGATGAAAAGCCAATTCATTAGCTTCATTAATAATTCCATTTAAGAATTCATGGTGTAATATGAATAAATATTTTATAAAAATGATAATATGATTATAATGGATAGAAACTAAAAATAACTTGTAATGAAATGAATGTTTTGAAAGTAGAAAAACATTTGCAACCTATCAACAAACATATTAGAAAATATTTTCACTAAATAACCAAACACTGGAAAATTATGGGGAATGAAATGATTTTCCAAGAAAATGACTTTGATGGAAAATATTTTCCCTAGAAAAACATTTTCAATCCAACCAAACGGACCCTTAAGGAAGAGAAACAATATGGTTAAGCATATTGCTTGAGAATCTAAGATGGTAGAAGTTCCAAACGTAGACCAAGGTCAGTTAGATCCAGGTTTAGCCTAGACCAACATAAAGCCCGTCATTTTTTGCAAGACTCGATTAGAGTTGCCATGCACAATCGAGACTTCGAACTGGAGATGAACTCCCCCTGATGAACTGTCAGGTATTATTTCGTTATTGAGGTCTGACCATACCAGAATTAATATGTAGAATTTCTAGTTACCCTGGAACCAACATATATGCACTCCCAAATCAAAGAATGGCCAAAAGAATATCTAGTGGGGTTTCTGACCAACTCCACTAATAACATGAACAATAACCTGCCTATTCATGTTTTTTTTCATGAGAACACTATACAATGCAGAATTACAAAAACTTCTCTGGGAGCAGATTACAAATAATACCAACTACTAAAACAACTGTTAAGAGTTGACTAAAACGGGGTATGGTCTGATCTCACCTCAAGTTTAAAACTGGTCTGCTTTCAAGATCCATATACTCCGGCAAAGAAAGCAATCAACACCCAGAACATGAGAATTCCAACTACAGCTTTTCTCAATAATTGTTCACCACTGGCGCTTAAGAGAATATCAGTGTCATAAGTTGGATCAAGTGCCGGCAGAACTTCCTCACTTGTTATATTTGCAAATGATTCACCCCAATTGGATTCAGTAATACAGGGCTGCTGCCGATTGCAGATGTCAAGCCTGGAACATGTCAAGCATGTGCATAACCCACCAAGACATGACGGGAGTGTCTCGATGCAACTGGAAAGAGCCTCTTGGTACATCTCTCCAAGAATTTTCAGCTTTTGTCTGGTTCCAGGTTTGAGAAACTAACCAGTGATGGGAAGGTTAATTTCCAATCTAAAGCATTAACAAGATGAAGTGAAACTTTGGAAATCAGATAAAAAGCTGCTACAGAAGCTTACCTGGATAAAAGTTTGTGCAATGACTCGAGCAACTAGGGGAAGTCGTACGACATATATGCAGCCTAGACGTTTTGGGAAGTGCTCTTGCAGAATATTGCAACAGGTTAATGACATTTGCATGGGAAACTTGAGAGGTGACAAGCCTTCACAGTCCACCAAGACAGTAATTCGAGAATGTTCATTGTCCATTAGATGGAGAACTCCATATTCCACCTGAGAAACTAAAATCAAGGGTCAAGACAAATCATTGCTTTAGTAATGGGTATAAGAAAAGAAAAGAAAGCAAAAAATGAAAAAAAAAATTAATAAAAAATAGAGAGACAAGGACAGAAAAATGCTTCTCCATGATTTACCCGACTTCATTAGTACCATATTTTGCAGTATGTATGACTCTCACTATTTAGAATTCCAAATCTAGCATCAGCAAAATTGTCAACAGAAACTGTCATATTATAAAATATTCAGATTAAATATAACAAATGAGTAATCTTGTAATGAAGCCATATAGTGACAAGATAACACAACAATGACCTATATGGGTAATCAGATAAATATGTGAAGATTGGAAGAAGACAAATATAAGAATATTTCACTAAGAGGAATTGATATCACAAATTTAATGAGTGTATGCAACATGGAATGAATTATATAATTCAAGCAACATTTTGACGTCACCAAAATTATTATGAAGCTGACTCACTAAAAATGAGAAATATGCCCAAAGGTCAAGAACCCAAGGCAACTACAGGATTTCATTGGTTTGATTACCAACACTTTTTATAAGGCAAACTCAGTCATAACCAATATAATTAGTTGAATGGCAAACTTACCGCAGTAAGTCAGTTTTCTAAAGAAGAAGAAAATGACACCGACACTAAAACGCATCATCTACTGAGGCAATGATGAATCAGCACCTATGACCAACCTACTCTAATACAGCTTAGTTCACATAAGAGCTGTAATAGAAGTCAAATCAAACTCCTCGAGCAAAAGAAAACAGGAAGGAAGCTATTTGAAATGACAAACCTAAAATGGGTTTGCATTTGACAAGGATTATTAAAGCAGTAAATTGCATGCAAACAGCAAAACAATGACAACCAAAGAAAAAAGGAATAAGTGGAAAAGGAAAAATAAAAGCAAAAACAAAAAACAACTTAGAGTTATGTTCCTCCAAACTGAAAGGGGAAGAAAGAAGCACGTCTTCACGTCCAATTTATTCTGTAAAAATTGACAGCAAGAACTCACAAAATCATAGAAGTTGAAAAGCATACCAACTGCCTGAGAAAATCGAGGTCTGTCAGATAATGGCACGCCATGCAAGCCAATCCAAGGCGGACAATAAGGCAAAGTTGATGTTTTTTATCAACTCCATGCCAGAAGACCATACTTGACCACATTTTAAGTTCTTGTTCTGACAGAATTCGGTAGTTCTTCCTCCAAGAGATTGTTTTCTTCACTAATGATAGAAAGCGTGGAAAATTTCCATTCGCGGTCTCATAGAATCTATGAAGCTCCTCCTCATCAATTCTGCATAAACACTGTTATATCATGCTCCAGTGCATGAAGAAATATTTTAAGATATCACATAAATACAAGCTAAAGTAATATATAGAACAATTCCAAGTATTTGTAGCTTAAGTTAAATTATTGAGCCAATAAACCCGCCCTTGAGAAATCCTTGAGAAAGAAATAAGCAGTCTGGATTACAAAATGTTCCAGTTCCGGATAAAGGGGCATAAACCTTAGAGATGAAAAGTAGCCATAAGACTAACCCACCTAGTCAGACAATCCAAATGTTTAATACCCAAGATGCAAATGACCCTCATCAAATACGTTATGCTGCTTTACAAGGAATTAGAACTTAATAGTGGGACATTGATATTCAGCTCAACACTGTGAGGCTAATCAGCCATGTAGCAGCCTGAGATCATTACATGGCTAAGAAACAAGTAAATTCTTGGAGAACAAACTCATGTCTGCTATTGTTATTAGTAAGAAAACCCAAATTTAACAATCATTTTCGGTATAAATTAGAATGTGTGCACAATGGTATGGGGCACTATGATTAGCTCCCCAATGGGACATACTGTTGTTTCAATCCCCAATAACTTAAATCTGTGCCTGCTCCAACAACAAATAAATGAACTAGGAACATGAAGAAATAAAAAGACCATTTTTAAGAGATGGAAGCAACTAATGCAGGAAGATGAGTTACTTACTAAACTGGTATTACCATAAACTGTTTACTTCCTTTGTGATTTTGTTTGATTACGGCAATTAACAAGACAATTTCTTAATATAATACTCCGAGAGTATTATTCATTTTGTCACAATTACCTTTCAGGTAAAGTTATCCCCTGAAGTTGAAGTTCTTTATAGAGCAGAAGCAACCAAGTTTTAGAAGATAGATTTTCAGACCCATCACCACCAATACTGCAAAACAAGGAAATCTTCATCATGGTTAACCAGGGAAAACAATAAAATGCATGCACATGAAAGCACCCAAAACTACATTCTGATTATGACCATTCAAGTGTAGAAGGTCAAAGAAAGGTACAGATGGTAAAACAGCAAAGTTAAACAACTCATGTAATCAAATGAGCCTCCATTAGAGAACTGATTTATTTGAAAAAAAAAAGTGTAATTGAAGTTCTTGACCAAAAAAATACAACGAGATGAGTATCTGTACAGGTAAAATCATAGTCAAGAAAATTTCCAGCACTACAATGAGGCCCGATCTGGAATCACCTGTAATGGATATTTACAGGTTGAATTCTTCATAATAAAGAATTTGAAGACATCAGCAGCAACATTGTGAAAACTGTTGAAGAAAAAGAATGCTGCAATATCAGTTTATCTACCTCATACAGGGAGCAGACTGCACAGAGGATATATCTGAAGGGGAATCTAATGAGGTAGATTCACTGGTGCGAGGAGGATCTTCATTATCCAAGGTATCATCTTTGCATCCTGAACCATCAGACAAGGCTGTTGCAAGGGATATTACCAGTAAAGGCCGCGACAGCATCTAAAGAAAAGAAGATACCACAACCATTAAATGTCAATAGCAACAAGTATGTTATTTGGCACCTTTACATAACCAAAGTCATAAAAGTGTCCTGCATGATGGAATAATCTACGATATGTATAGATTACTATCAAAATATTTGCAACTTAGGGTAAAAGTTTAGATAAGAAAGTAGAGTAAATAAATTAAAGCTTTTGAGCTGATCAGGCCACTCTATTAAGTTGGACAAAGAGGATCATCCCAATTTTATTTTTAACAAAAAGTCATTTGCTCAATGAAAGTATGATGAAATCATAAGGCTTCTTCTTTAGTGGATAAGAAAGCATGGATCTTAGATCTCTATTTATACAGAGGTTAATGAATTGTATATTGAGACAATTCTTGCTGCTAACTGCCATAGACTAAATTCCCATGATTGTACCATATTCTGAAACAATTTTTTGGTATCCAGAAAGTCAATAAATAGTTTCCACTCATGCAGGCTCG